CGGCTGGCTCGGCCTGTGAGTCTTTGTGGGCGACCTGCTGCTGGAGATCCACATTTACCGCGTGAGACTGACTCCCCAAAGGATCCAGACCCCTTTCCAGACCAAAAGATCCCTGGTGGTACCCAACCGTTCCTGGGGCAATTAATCAAGCAATGAAGGTTTTATTACTGAGGTTGTATCTGAAAGCTACAGAGGTCTTTGTTGTCGTCCCGTGTGCATTTGGCTCACCAGACCCCAGCACAGGTTGGCGTCCCTCTGCTCCTCCTGTCACGGCAGCTGCCAGGCGCACCCGGGGCGAGAGGCTTGGGCTCAGCCTGTGGCACGTAGCAGGCGGATCCCAACCTTCTCAGGGCAGGTTCAGCAAGAGCCGGAAGGTGTCTGTGCTCAGAGCTGGTCTCTGCCAGGTTTCCCAACCTTGGCAGCTTCAACTCCCAGAATCCCCCAGTCGGCAGGAAGGTGAAGCCCACAAGGGTGAATGTTTCTGAGGCCGAGAAGCTCTGCTCCGGGTCTTTTCCTGTCTTCTGTGAACTGAGTTTTGCTTTTTCGTTTTTTGGGTTTCTCTTCTTCTCCCTCCTGCACAGGCAGAGGTGAAGGGTGATCAGATCTCTCCGTTTGTTTTGAGAAGCTACTTCTCAAAACTGCTCCATTATCTGTTTTGCACAATGATTTCTCTGTTTGTGTCTGTCCCCTCTGATTGGGTAAAACCCAACTTTTTTAAAAAAACAAAGCAATCTAGGATTAAATGTGTTTCCACCTTTTTCTGAATTGCCAGGGATGTCTGGGGGGGGGGAAGAGAGGGAGGGCAGTCAAAGCAGTCAAGATGGCGGCCACAAGTGTGCAAAGGAGACCCCTGCCCTTGGGGGCCCCCTGGCATTCTAGCCTTAAAGAGGCGAAACCGAGATCTTAAACCACTAAACTCCTTTTCCGGGGTCACTGACGCGTAAAAGGTCGGAGGAGAGCGATCCAGCTGGCTCCTGGATCTAGCGCAGGGAGGGGGCGGGGCTTCCAGAGCTGCGGGGGTTCTGCGGATCCTCGAGAGAGCCCTGAGGTTTTTAGACGGCGGAGCCTGGCGTTGTGAGTTGTGAAGCGGTGTGTTGCAATAGGAGCGAAGGACGCAGGGGGGGGGAATCATTTTTCTACGGTGCTCCCCGGAAGGACAGCTGGAAGGAAGCGATCCCAGGCGATCGCCGCCGAGGGATCGGCCGCCAAGCACCGGCCGGGCGACTGGGCAAGTCCGGGGCTGGAGCATCCCTTCCGCAGCCGGGCGGGACCCTTCCCGCGTTGGCTCCAGGCCGGACGCCGCTCTCCCCGCCCTCCCGCGCGCCCCTTCCCGGCGGCGGCAACGGGGGAGACGGTGCGGCCCGGAATGTTTTGTCCCGGCGAGGGCCGGCACGTCCGTCCGCCCGCCCGCCGGCCGTCTGAAGGAGCCCCTCGGAGGGAGGCTGGGAGCGGCTCCCTTAGAGCCCGTGCAGGCGGCTCTCTTCGCTGCTTGCAGGGGGGTCGGGCTGCCGGCCCATCTGCTCCTCCGTCTTCGGTCCCTCCGTCCGTCTGGCTAGCTTGGCTTCTGGAGGGCTTTCAGTTGTGGACGTTAATGTTGTTTCTCATACGGGAAGCCGCCCGCAGTCAGCTGGGAGTGAAGTGGGGAAGCCATTTAAATTAATAAATCAAGAATAAGTAGCCTCCCTCCCTCTCTGCCCCCCCTCCTCTCAAGCCGATGCCTGTAAGGTCTCTCGCATCTCCGCGCCGTTGAGCTGCCCTGAGCTGGGACCAGCCGCCCCCCCCTCAGCCGGGCCTTCCCCACAGGCGGTTGGTCACAGGCAAAATCGGGGGAGGGACCGCGCCAACCGGGATCAAGATCCCGATCCGAAAGATGCGATATCGATCCGATTGAAAGGAGCAAGGGGTTCGCCCCCGCCTTTTTCCGGAACGGGTTTGAACTTCGCCTGCCCCCTCGGGATCTCCCGGTGGCCTCCCACCCTGTCTCAGGGCAAAAGGAGCCGGCGCTCCCCCTTTCCCCAGCCCGACTCGGACATCGGAAAAGCCACCCTGGCGGAAGGAGGCCAGTAAAGACGGGCGCAGCCCGGGAAGCCCCTGCTGGGGAAAGGCAGGAGGAGGGGAGGGGGTTCCTTGCGGGGGGGGTCCCTGGCAGGTGACGGCCAGCTTCGGAGGGGCGCGTCGTCTTCCGCGGAGAAAGAAGCGGGCCCGAAGCTTCTTCCTCCGCGGAAAGGCAACCCCGCGCCGGATCCGCGACGGCGGGGCCTTAGAGCAGGTTTCCCAGGCCGGGTCGCTCAAGGCCGAGCCGGGAGGCTTCCGCGCGGGGCCTGGAGCAGCCAGACCGTCCGCCGTCTCCTGCCCTTCCCCGCAAGCCAGGCGGTCCTGGGGGGGGGTGTTCTGCAGCTCCCAAAGGCCCACCCCGGCACGCGAGACCCCCGCTCCCTCGGCCGAGGCCCCGCCGCACCCGCGGAATTTCCTCGCGGGGCCCACGTGGACGGGTCCCGTTAGATCGGCCTTACGCCGTCGGGAAGGACTAAGCGAGTGGCTGCTCCCCCCCCCAAGAAGTCCGCAACTGGAGGGCCCGCCCGATTCGGGGGAAGACGGCTGCGCAATTGAGCCAAAGTCCGGCGCTGGCTGGGAATGACGGGGGGGGGGGCGCGTTCATTGCAGGGGCTCCGGTCTTGGGAGAGAAGCCCCGGCTTTCAAAGCCTCGGTTCGCAAAGGATTCCTCCGAAGGCCCCGGCGCCTCGTGGGAGAAGCGCGTCCATAAAAGGAAGGGCGACACGTTTCTGTATTCGTTTACCAACCGCCCGTCTCGCCCAGATGCTTCTGGGCGGCTTACAGTGAATAGATTGAAAACAAATCGAAATCGTCATGAAAGCGGCCCGAGCGGTCCCCGAAGGAGGGGCAGCTCCTCCCGCACCCCAGGCGGGCCCTGCGGGGAACGAGCTGGAGGCCGTTTCCCATCAAGACTTAAGCGAAACAAAATCGTACAGTCGGGTGCGATTCATCACTCGGGAAGGCGGATTTCCCTCGCCCTCGCTTCCGGGGGACGATGCGGGAAAACGCTCCTTCCCTCCGAAGCAGAGCCCCGGAAAGACTCGCGGGCGCCTTCACACGAGGCGCGGGGCCGGGCCCCGGTTCCGTCGGGCGCGCTGAGCGGAGAGCCGGGCGTTGCGGCCGGGCGGGCTCCGGAGCTGCGTCCATCTATTACGGCGTGGCCGTAGAATAAATGTGATTTTCGCGTAGACCAGCCTCGGCTTTCGTCTGAACCCCTTTTCTCGATTCAGACGACGCACGGGACGGTAGAACGACTTAAGGGGCCGGGTCGCGGGATGGGTCCGCGTTCTGCCGCTTCCTAACCCCGACCGAGGTCAGCTCCGGTAATTTAGGTTTAGATTCAGGTCAGGCTACAGAGAGCGGGTTTCGCCGACCTAATCGTGTGAACGCGGCCAGTTTTTTTTGGGGGAGAACTAAACCAAAAGCTAAAGCAGAGATGCGGTCGGAAGACAAGCGACCTTCCAAACGCACCTCCCGGCCCCGGGTCTGCGTTCCTCCCCTTCGGCTGGGGTCCTTACGGACATCGCTCAGACCCGCACGTCGGAAAAGAGTCGCTCCTCCGCTCCAGCATTGCCTGCTGCTGGGCGGAGAGTCCGGAGAAGCGGCGCGAGGGCGCTCGGCACGCGGCGGGCTCCGGCGGGAAACGCGGGGCAGGAGGAGAGGCATTGGGCGCGAACTTTTCCGCCAGACCTCCTTTCTCTCGAGTGGCCCACCTCCAGAGTCCGGCTGCCTTGAAAAGGACACGTGTGGACGTTCCAAGCGGGCGCTTTCTGGGCCCGCTAGTCTGCCCCGCTGCTTGGGGAGGGCGGGGGAGGGCGAAGCGGAGGGTCTGGGCTGCGGCCGGGCGAACTGATGCCAGCTTCCGGCTCCCGGTGGACGGGGAGGGCCTTCCCCCCTCCCCCCCTTCGCCCCCACTTCGCGTTCCTTTTTTGCAAGCTTCTGGGGGGTATTTTGCTCGGAAAGACCCCCCCTCGTTGGACGGAAAAGGTCCGGGGCGGCGCATTTGCGCGGGCCTCACCTGCGCCAGGTAGACCCGGCCCGGCCGCCTCGAGGGGGGAGGGAGCGCCCGAGAAAGCGGCCGTAGCCGGTGGGCGCCGGGCTTTCCCGGGAGCGAAGGCTGGTTTCTCTCGGATCTGTTGTGATCCGATCCGATCGGGAGATCTCCGGCTCTGGCCTCGGGGGCCAGGCTCCGGGGCCCCCGGGGGCAGAGCAACGCTACGGCCGCTTCGCCCCTCCTCCCCCTCCTCCGAGACGGATCTTCCCCTCGGAAAGCCCGCGTCGTCCGCCCTGGAGCGCCGTCGGGGGGCTTCTGCGGGACGGAGCCCCCGCCCGCTGGGCCGGGACCGTCCGGGCGGCCGCCTGGGAGGAAGGCGCGGAAGCCGCCCAGACGGCCCCTCTTCCTTTTGGAGGCTGCTTCGGGCGGGGAGGGCTATGGGGGGGCAAAGGCCCGCGCGCACCCTGGAACCCGAGGAGGCGCCCCGGGGGCTTCTGCGGGGGGCTCTGCTCGCCTCACACAGGCGGGGGCGGCGTCGGCGTCGGGGCGGCCAGGCGGCCGCCTTCCCACGGCCCGGGGAAGCTCGGTTCCTGCGCGGGGCTCGCCCGGCCCCTCCCTCCAGCCGGGCTTCGGGCGCGGCGACTGGGGGGGGGGGAGGCACCGCTCCACCGGCTCCCCGCGCTTCAGCTGCGCGCCCGGCCCGGCCACTCCGGCTCAGGGCCGGCGGGGGGTGGGGGGTGGTGGGGGGGGCTGGCTCGCCCAATGACAGCCGCGGCCCGAGAGGGGAGGCGAGCGGCGGGGACGCCTCCCCGGGAGAAGCCAGGCAGATGCCGCAGGCGGCGGGGGCCCGGCAGCTCCCGGCCAGGCCCTAGAGGCGGCCCCGCCGCCCGGTCCGCCCGCCCGAGGCCAGCGCGCCGCTCCTCGCCCGCCTCCCGGAGGAGGAGGAGGCGGAGGGGGCGGCGGCTCAGAGCCCGCCGGCGGGCGCTCCGGGCCGAGGAAGACTCCGCCGGCGCCCGGCCGCCCCACGATGCTCCTGCTGGCCCTTCGCCGCCGCCGCCGCCGCCTGGCCGTCGGTTACCCGCAGCTCTTCCTCCTGCTGACCAGCGGCAGCTGCCTGTGAGTGGCGGGCGCGGAGGGGGCGGGGGGGGTTGGCCGGGGGATCCGCTGCTTAGTGCGCCTCGGGCGGGGAGGGGCGGCGGGGGCAGCGGCGCTGCGGGCAGGTGGACGGGCTCCCCCTGGAGCGGAGGGCTTCCGGGCGTCGGGCTGTCGGCGGGCTCCGTCGAGGCTCCCGGAGAGGAGCGGGCGCTCCGGGTGGGGACCGGCCCGGCTGGCCTCGGGGAGGCGGGCTTCCCGCAAAGCTTCCCCAACGGCTTCCGGGCGACCCGCAGTCCGGGTCTCTGCCGGACTCGCCCGCGGCCGGCCGCGCGGGGAGGCGAACCCGCGGGGCGGCCGGCTTAGCAGGTGGCGCGCGGGGGTTCCCGCCCGGCCCGGAGGGCGGAAGGTGGGGGGCGGAGGGGCCCCCCGGGCCGGGGCTGCCGGGGTACCGTCGCGGCAGCCTTCCCGGCGCCGGCGGAGCTCGGCCGGGGAGCCCGGAGCCTCGGCGGGCCGCTCGCTTCCCCCCCGCCGGCCAGGGCGCCGGTTCTCGGCTCGGGTCCGCCCGCCGCGCCCCTCCCGGCCGCGCCTCCTTCCCCGCCTTCGCGCTAAGGAAGCGGCCCGGCCTCGGAGGAGGAGCGGCCGTCCGGGACCCGCGCCGGGCTCGGCCCGGGTAGCGGCGGGCTCCGTGCAGCCGGCGCCCCCGACGCCCCCGACGCCGCCTCTCCCCGGCGCTGGCGGCCTCCGTAGGGCCCGGGGGGGGGAATGAATCTGGACAGGAGCCCCCGGCCCCCGTTTCCCCGAGGAAGGGGAGGACGGGGCCCGCCCGCCCGCCTCCCCGCCTCCCCCGGTCTCCCCGCTATAAATAGCTGCGGGTCTTGAAACCAAAGTGCTGCCGACCGCAGCCCAGAGGCTGGCGGCTTTCCCTGCCGTGTGACATAATTATACGGTCCGAAGGCAAAAGAGCTCCCGAAGCGGAATAACCGCCCCAAGGCCGCTTCTACTCCGGGCGGACCCGGGGAGGGAGGCCGCGTCTCTGGGGCGGCGCCGCTTCACCTGCCCCGTCTGGATCCCGCCCGGTGGGACGCCGAGGGGGGGGGCGGGCGGAGGAGGAGGGAGGCTAAGGCGTCTCTTCTGCCCGGCTCCGTTCCGCGGGGTTAGCTCGCCTAGGTCAAGTTTCCAAGTTTCCTTAAAAATCGGCACCGAACGCAATTCGCGCGTTTTTGAGGTATGGATACGAGAATGGCTTTTATAATGAGCCGTTTAAATACTAATCATTTTTTACTCGGTTCTGGTTAGTTCACTCCTACGCCCTTGTGTAACGTCTCTCTCAGTCGGAGCAAAGGCCCTCGGGAATCTTGCGGGTTGTCCGTAAATGCCCCGAGGGGGGCATGTTCTGTGAGTGACCGCCTACGCTTGCGTCCCTGGGCTTAAACGTCTCCCGTCAAAATAAATCGCCCTTAAATATACTGCATCTCAGTTGGAGCCAATGGTGCTTTCAACTGGTTAGTGGACATAGGTTCTTTGCAATTAATGAACTTTTTCAAAATAGATATGAAAAAACTTTATTTATTTATTATTTATTTATTTTAAAAAGACTCATCCTTAGAAGTGGGCAAATCTGGAGATTATAAAGAGATTTGAAACTTGTTCATCGCGATAATATTACATCCGGCAAGTAGAAAGCACAAAAATGAGATGACGTCGTTTTGCTATTTGTCAGATCCATTCCTTCAAGATGAAATCTGGTCATTCATAGGCAAAAAAGTGGCTTTTGAAAAGTAGGAACAGGGTATTTATCAAAGATGCCTGAAAGATTATTTCTTTGTGTGATTGAGTCTAACGTTGAATATTTCTGCTAGGGAGTTTTGGTTCCCCAAATCAGCCAGAATCCAGTTTCTTTGCACCCTAAACCCATTATTCCACATCCTACAAGTTGAAACCACCCCCCTGTTTGTGTGTGTGTGTGTGTGTGTGTGTGTGTGTGAGAGAGAGAGAGAGAGAGAGAGAGAGAGAGAGAGAGAGAGAGAGAGAGAGAGAGAGAGAGTCTTCTTCATAGGATTTGTTTTCTAGCCCCCTGACCCTTGTTCCTTTCTCTGGATCTGTCCCAATTCCGCTGGTTCCTTCTTAAACAGTGATGTCCAGAACTGGACACAGGACTTAAAGTGTGGCCTGACCGGACAGCCATTTTTTGTGGCATATAAATGTCAATGATTGAATTAGTTACGGGTAGCATGGACACATGTAGGCTAAGGAAGTTATTGGTTTCTCATAGCCAGGTTCATTTAAACACAAGTCCTTCATATCCAGAAAGGGCTTTTTTTTTTTTTTGCAGATCAGAATTGCAGCCATAAAATCATAGATTTCATCTGGAAAGTAAAATATAGGCTTAATATTTTCCGGGTTTAATTATGCGACCTTAGAAACACGAGGCTTATTTGGTATGATCTGTTTATCCAGACTTAATTTTACGAACATTTATGAGATGTATGTAACCTTTCCATTGCACTGAATATAAACACTCCAGCAAGAGTGATTGGATTAATGCCATATATTTTTACACAGTACACGATTCCATTCTGAAAACTGATGCAATTCTCTGGCCCAGATTCCTCGTACATTATTTCCATGCCTAATGGAAAGTACCCTACTGAACCTGTGGTGTATGTGTGTATATGTGTGTTGTGGGCAACTGTACTTTTCCTGGTTAACTAATGGCAACCTTTGAAGATTAAAACTTGGCAGAGATTCCCTGTTTCTTTTCAGGGTCTTTTTCAGAGAGAAATGCAGTTTTCTAAAAAGGAAACGCAGGCTTCCCCAGCTGTTAGACAGAAAACCTGAATGGGTTTGCTTTTGTTTGTATTTTTTTCTAGTCATTCTGATTTTTATTTTTTTAATCTACACAAGAAAGGTAATGTGTGATTTTTGAGTAATAAATGAGGGTGTAATAATATATTTTCTTTGGGAGTGGTTTTTTTTCACTTATTGTTACTGTACACTGGCTTATGAGTAGGATAATTCCTCCTAAATTTGAAAGCCCAGCTTCTTATAAGACCGGGGGGGGGGGTGTGTGTGTGCAGTGGTGGAGGCTTGGCCTAGCCCTGCGGGTGGGGGGGGTCCCAGGCTTGAAAGCGCTCTCCCTCACAGAAATCCCTCGGGGGGGGGCCTTGGAATAACGCCCTCGTCTCAGCCCAGCTGACCTCACAGGGCTGTTGTTCTGGGAAAGGAGGAGAAAGAGTACAGACTGTAACTGGGACCAGAGGTTCTGTCGCTAAGCAAGGCTACGGTGAAGTGAGTCGCACCCAATTTATGAGCTTTTTGCTTTGGTTGTTAAGCGAATCACTGCAGTCGTTAAGTGAGTCAACCAGGAAGCGAATCTGACTTCCCCCTCTGACTTTGTTTTTGAGAAGCGGCTGGAAGTGGGGATCGCCAGGCCCTGGGAGGGGGCAGCTCCTGTGGACACAGGCAGACTCTCAAGCGTCCCTTTAGTGGCCCTTTGAAGTTACAACGGCACTGGAAAAAAATGACTTACAACCATTTTTCACACTTACGACCATTGCAGTGTCAGTGATCCAGTTGCAGGTCATGTGATCAAAATCCAGGCCCTTGGCCACTGACTCGCATTTATGACTGTTGCGGTATCCCGGGGTCATGTGGTTCTTTTTTACGACCTTCAGACAAGCAAAATCAGTAGGGAGGAAGGCAGATTCATTTAACAGTCGTGTCACTATTTTAACCACTGCAGTGATTCACTTAACAACTGTGGCAAGAAAGGTCATAAAATGGAATAAAATTCACCTAACAAATCTGTCCCTTAGCAACAGCAATTTTGGCCTTGATTGTGGAGGACCACCTGTATAAAAGGAATTTAGTGTAGCCTTCCTGGAGAGGTGAAAAATTAAATGTTGGATGAATATTAACGGATGTTTGCAGGAATGTCCACGGAACGTGGGCTACAAAAATTGAGATACGTGACTGCAGGTTGCAATCAGAGCTCAGCTTATTTCTTGTGCACGACCCAGACGCCTCTGAATGGTCACAGTTGCACAGAACACTTTTTATTCTGCCTATAACGTTGTGCATTAATGTTGCACAGCAAGAGGGGTAACCTAACTCATAAAGTCTACGAAGGACGGGCGCTGTCTAAGCCCACTGCTCCAATGCGCTGTTTTCTTTGGTTATGGACGTGGCCTCCTGCCTTACTCCCGCGCTCTCCACGCCACTTGCCTCGGAATGAGGAACAAGTGCTCCGTTTTATCCTTATCTTCTACAAAATGCAAATCTGACTTTTCTTGCACATGTGAACCTAAAGCCAGGAAGGAGTTTTCTTTCCTCTGTTACTGGAGTATTATGATCGGCGGGCTTAGGAATTCACAGGCAACGCAAATCGGTATTTCTTTATTTAGCGATAACTGAGAAATCCCAACAATCTAAATTTGACTGAGTTGGAAATACTGAAAGAGAAGGGGGGGGGGAGAGAAAAGGAACAGTTTGGGAGTGGAGGTTCAAAAAGTCAAGATGGTGCCACGATGGCATGATCAGAGCCTTGTCCCTTTTCCAACATGCCTACAAAAAGATGGAGTTTCAGTAGATTAGTTGAGGCCAGAAGGCCTGCAAAACAGGGAGCTTGGATCCAGGAACCACACAGTGGGTCTGTGCATGTGGCCAGATGCAATTGCAGAGATGTGAGATAGAAGTATATTCGATCCACGCCTCAACTCCTTGTCATATCCAGCTCAACAAATAATTTAAAAAGTGGTGGATGTGTGTTAGGTTCTCAGCAGCAGCAAGTGGACCATTATTAACGATGCTGTTGTGAGTTAGAGATAATTATTAAATGGCTGCTTTGTTGCCCACCTCTCAGCCTGAATCCACAGTCATGAGCTGAAGATGGCTTGGATGTAGTATTGGTTAGTCAACTTGTTCTAGCCTAGGATTTGTTTTTAAAAGTTACAAATAAGTAATTAATTAAGTTAATCTGTTGTATTTCTGCCTGTGCCCTTGAAAGAGACATTCAGAAAGAT